CCATGATAATGTTCTCTTTAACTTTTTTTTTTATAATGTTCTCTTACTACCCAACACAGCATCGAGCTCAGCAGCAGAGATTCTGACGGTGTCTTGTTCTCTGAAGCACCTGTCAGAAAGCTGCATCTCCTGCATTCATCATGAAGATCCCAGACCTGCACGATGGGCACTCAATACCTCCGTGTAAGGCCCAGCTTCAGCGGATCTTTCTGGCTGAGCCCCATGTGGACTGGGCCTTCTGCCTGGAAACTTTTTAAAGAAACAGTGCCCAAAGGAACTTTCTGCAGGAATGAGAATGTGTCTTTATCTATGTTGTCCAATATATGATACCTGCTAAACCAGTTTAGAGAAATTCAGCTGGTGCAACAGAAGCACTTTTTAAATTTTATTTACTTTAATAAGTTTAAAATAGGCAGACATGGCTAGTTTTGGATAAGGCAGCTTTCAAGGGTGGGCAGAAATATATAGACTCTTCAGAAAAATATGTATGTAAACACAGTTTTGCATGCAAGTTCAAAAGATCTGGAACCTCAAACCCATTTGTCTTAGTTACTTTTCTCATTGGTAAGACAAAATACCTGACACCCAAAGTTAACATAGGAAAGATTTATCTAGCTCACAGTTTGTAGAGGTTTCAGTCCAAAATTGGCTGGCTCCAATGCAGGGTGGTGTGGCATCAAAGAGGAGACATAGTTTTCAGTGGACAGAAGTTAGCAAAGCAAGGAAAGGACCTCAGCAGCTTCTTTCTGCCTGTTATACTCTAGACTACTGGGATTGTCAAAGGGCAGTACCAAACCAATCTGCAGGCTGATTTAGTAATCACACAGCTTCGACCCCAAAATCATACGTACACCTAGGTCCAGCCACCTCTGAAAAAGTCCCACCTATGACTGCATGAGATTATGAAAGGACATCTAGACACAAATAACACCATTTATATGTCCTTACAGCAAGAAGCTCTGAACCTGACAAAAATGATGAGGCTAGGACGAAGAGGGCTAAAGGGTGCCATACAGAACAAAGGAGCTGACAGAAAAGGGGCAAGCATTAATGTTCCCATTCAGAATAATTCCACTTCTGGAATTTTCTGCCATTCTATGCCGTCTTTTCAGCTCACTTATTTATTTTTTAAGTTAAATTTAAAAACTTTTTGAGACAGGGTCTTGCAGGCAGTAAACTCACTATGTGGCCCACAGTGGCCTCAAACTTGAGGTGATCATCGTTGCCTCAGCCTGCCAAGAGGGGGAATTACAGCTGTGTGCCACCATGCTCAGCTCAGCTTACTGACAGTGTAGTTTGGCTTACAAAAGTTTTAATTTTGATGAAATCTTATTTATTTACATTTACTTTGTTGATTGGACTTCTAGTGTTATATATCTAAGAATCCATTGTCAAGTCCAAATTCATACTTAGTTCTCTATTTTCTTATAAGAATTTACTGTTTTAGCTCTTCTGGCCTTTGATTCATTTTTAGTTGCTGTTTACACGTGACAAGGTAGGAGCTCCGCCTCTTTCCTACTGAATACCTAGTTGTCCTAGAATGCGCATGCGCGGCCGAGAACACACTGAGCAGTGGTTTCAGTGTTCCTACGCTCAGCCTCCTTGTCTTTTTAGTCTTTGCTGGCTGCACTTTCTCTGTCCATACTGATGCCCCTGAGGGCAGGTCACTTTGGTTCGCTTCCAACCTAGCAGAGCTGTGAGAGCTCCCTAAGGTCCTTTGACAGTAAGGGCAGAGACAGGAGGCCCGTGTCCTGCTCTTCTGCAACACCTACCTCTACCAACAGGGCTTTGCCATCCCCGGCTCCTGCCTCCTGAACGTTTTAGCTGGCACCTTGTTTGGATCATTGCTGGGGCTTCTGCTGTGCTGTGTGCACAGTGGGTGACTTGTGCTGCCTGTGTTTTTGGCAAATAGCTGGTGGTCTCCCACTTTCCTGATAAAGTGGCCCAGCTGCAGAGGAAGGTTCGATCCAGTACAATTTCATCTGTATGCTGACAGATTCCATCCTATCAACCCTCATTTCGCTGGATGTTCTTTTCTCCTGAGGAGCAGTCTTTAAGCTCTTGGCCATTGCCCCGGTTCCCTTAGTTCCTTGAATCCTCATAAATTCAGCCAGAAGCAACTGCAATTGAATGAGTGGTAACACGAATCATATAAATAGGAGACAAGTGATTTGGATTTTCCATTTGCCTCATTTCTGAAGTCTGTTGCTGATTTGCAGATATGGTTTAAAAACTCTCATTGTTCTTGGACATCATTGATCTGCGCACAGTGTGTGCTCTAAAGTGAATTGTATTAGGGTTTATTTCAGGACTCCAAACCACGAAGAGCCCAGGATGGTCTGCTGGGGCTGCTTTGGAAGATGGTTGTCCTTGTCCAGACTGCTTCCTGCAAAGTGATAGACTATGTGACAGGTGTTCTCCTGTGAAGCCTCATGGAAGTTACTAGTGTGGATACTGACACTGAACCCACATCTCTGACATGGCTCATCTTCTGTTAGTCTCTTGGAGAGTATTTTTTTGTCCTTTTCCCCCTAGTGTCCCATCTTCTCCATAAGCCAAGGGAATCAAGTTGAACTTCCACATCTGGCTCAAATGCAGTTATTTCTGTGATACTCTTCTGTTTAGACATTTGATGTCCATGTGTGTCAGATTTCCTCCTGGCTGTATGTCCTGACAGCTGATTGCAAACAGACTATTAAATATTAATGGAATAAACTGTATCTTTATGGATATGTTGTGGATAGGGTAGGGCCCTTGACTCATGTGTGTCAAGTGACCATCTGTACGTTTTCTGGTGTCCTTTCTGTGTGGAGGTCTATCTCCTGCTAGGAGGAGAGTGATTCCGTGTACTAGGCTACTGTCCCCTGTAAATGTCTTTCATTTTGCCATTTGTTGAGAATAACTGACAAATGGTTGTTTTTGGCACCTGGGATCAAACTCATGACCTGTGCTTGCCAGGCAGGCACTTATGCTGCTGAGCTAAATCCCAGCCCAATGGTTGTTTTTAATTTAGAGTATAAATTGGTCTTATTACTTGGTAGTATTGTAATTATCCAAAGGCATCAGTGCTTCCTACAGTTTCAGCGTTGGTTTAGCACAGACCTTGCTCATTGCCTGCAAGGACAGATGGACCTTGGCACCTGAACTGACGAACTTTGTGACTCCATATCCTCACCACGTTTACCAGAACTGTTATCCTTAGGCATCAATTGCTGGGTTTTTTATTTGGGCTGGCCAAGTCTCTAAGAATAGGCCTGTATTCTACATGAATTCTTGGGAATAACTATGTTCTATAAGAGTGGACTCCCAACTAGTGTTTTTTAGACACAGTGTGAATATTGTACAACAGACCTCAGTAACACAATGTTTCTTTTTATGAATAAGTTTCAAGTGTAAGTGAGAGAGCATATTAGTGTTTTATGGTAGTAAGAAGGGAAAATTTTCTCCACATTGTTGCAAATGTGCCCACTTTTATCCTTTTCAGGATCCTTAGAACTGTCTTTCCCTTTCCTTCTGTATGATTCTCCCTCCCACCCCACGTTGATCGAACTTACCACCGTGCTTGCAAGGAAGGCTCTTATGCCGCTGAGCTAAATCCCCAGCCCTCTGTATGATTTCTTAACACTATGCCTTATTGGTTATGAGTTTACAGGTAAAGCAATTTCCCAAATAAGTGGATATAAACAAAGTAAAAGCAAACAAACATAAGCTCTTATTTCTGGACTCTTGATTCAATTAATCTGTATGTCTATCCTTATACTAAAGCACCATACTGTTTTGATCTGCATTTCTTTAGTGATAAATAATCATCTTTCAGATATTTAGGCTTGGAAAATGTCTAAAGTCCTTTACGTTTTGGGGGGGGTGGTATTGGGAGTTGAATACAGGGAAGCTCTACGATTGAGCTATATCCTCAGCCCTTTTTTATGGTTTTTGTTTGGTTTTAAGACAGACTTGTTTTATAGTTCAGGCTAGTTTTGAACTATGTATGTCTGACTGGCCTCAAATTTATGGCTATCCTCCTGCCTCAGTCCTTGTTATTTTTCACTTTGAGACTGAGTGTTAGTTGCTTTGATTGGCTTTGAACTTGATGACTCTCCTACCTCCCAAATAGCTGGGACTACAGGAGTGCACCAACATGCCCAGCCCGCTTTTTGACTACTGTTAAATTGAGTTTTTGGTCATTTTGTCATCGAGAAGACTCTCATATCCAGAATATATAAAGAACCCAACTCAACAACAAAGAGACTACAATTATATACCACTTCACTCCCACTAGGATGACTATGCTCAAAACAACAGAAAAATAATGTTAATGACGATGTGAAGCTACAATCCCTTGTGCACTTGTGCACTGCTGATAGGGATGTTGTCACTGTGGAAAAGTTTGGTGGTTCCTCAAAAATTAAATATCGACTTATCATTCAACCTAGCAATTACACAGTTGGAATTTCTTTTTTTTTTTTTTTCTTGGAATTTCAAAAGAACTGAAAACACATATTTAAACAAAAAAACCTATAAAACATAATTATGCAGAGTAGCACTATTTGCAACAGCCAAAAGGTAGAAACAGTGTAATTATTTATCAACTGATGAATAAATACACAAAATGTGGTATACCCATGCAATAGAATATTGTCATAAAAAATGAAGTACATACAGACGTATGCTACAAATTAGATGACTCTTGTGAAAGATACAAAAGGTCTTATAGTGTATGATTCCACCTACATAAATGTCAAGAATAGACAAATCCATTAAGGCAGACATTAATTAATGGCTACCAGGGACCAGGGGTGGGGAGGACAGGAAATGGTTAATAGGTACATGTTTCCTTTTAGCATGAGAAATGTGTTTTGGCATTAAATGAGGTGATGGTTGCATGACACTGAATATACTAAATGTCACTAAACTATACATCTTAAAAGTGGTTCCTTATGTGAATTTTATCTCAATTCAAAAAAGAAAAAAAAATTAGTAAGAAAACCAGGTACACAAGGTGTTAGAAAAAGGGATATATTTACAAAGCAAAAATAATCCTGACTCTAGCTGGAGAGAGAAAGGAGGAGGTAGCAAGTATGAACAAATCTCACTCCTGGAGAAACCCTGAGAATCTGGCCATGGGGAAATCTTTGCCTCACCCCTGTTCTACAAACCAAGGAGCAATCCCATCAGCCACAGCCCTCAGTCCCCTTGCCAGTCATCCTGTGCCCAGGCAGGCATGGGTGAAACATACTCAAAGTCTGGCCCTTTATAGCAGAAGGCATGCAGGAACATCACAAGGTCCTGGGGCAAGGGATCTTGTCGCACCAGGCGGCACTCTGTACAGAGTGGGTCTGTCTCTTGATTGGTAACATCTGTTTCAGATGCCTTCTCTGACACTAAGGCTGTCATGTCCAGATCCTGAGGCCCTGCTGCAACTATTCCATCCATCTTCTGAACACCTGTAGTCAACTCTTCCATGCTATTCTTGGTCAACTCTGAGGAGGCAGCTGTAGAGTCTGGAAGTCCTGGGGACAGGTCACTCTCACAGAGATAAAGCACATCCAGGCTCTGTTTGGCCTGGTGCTCTGCTACCAGGTCCCGGAGCAACTCCTCATCTGTCTTGGGAATGTGGCCACCTCGGCCTCGGGAAGGGCCCCAGGCAACTGAATTGTAGATAGGGTCATTGAGAATAGGGTGGCCCAGAAATTGCAGGTGGACTCGGATCTGATGGGTTCGGCCTGTGAGTGGACGGCACTTTACTACACTGGAGTGGCCATTGTAGCTCAGTCTCTGAAACACGGTCTCACAAGGCTTGCCCCGGGGATCCACACGGCATACTCCAACCTTGTAAGACACTACTAGGATGGGTTCCTTGCAGGTCACCTCCTTGGCGGGGAACTCCCCTTCTACTCGGCACACGTACTCCTTCTCCAGCTGCACAGGAGAAAGTGGGAGAAAGTCAACACAGAGCCTAAACTCAAGGACTTGAGACTCTCTGCAGTGGTAAAGAATATACCACTCTCAGATCAACAAGATTCAAAACCCAGCTCCACCACTTGTCAGTTTTGTAATCATAGGTATTTTACTTATCTCTTTAAATCCCCTTAACTCATTTAGAAAATGAGCTTAGAACATATGTTTAGAAAAACATTTACCTAGCATGGCTGGTATAAGCATTCAGTAAATTAGGCTCTATTGTGCTTGGTACTAAGCCTGTAGAAGACAGCCTGGCTCACCTGCCGGTCCCGAACTTGCTCATGAATCCTCTCAGAGACAGCAGCTGTCTTGGCAAACATGAGTACCCCAGAGGTTAAGCGGTCAAGCCGATGCAATGGGTGTAGCTCCTTCAGTTGGTGCTCCTTGCCCAGGATGAAGATGACTGTGTTGTGTCGGAAGCGACCACAGGGGTGGACAGGAATAGAGGAAGGCTTGTCCACAACTACCACATCTTCATTCTCAGCTAGCAGGCGAATAGGCTCCGCTGTGACTGGTGGTTCATGCCTGTGCACCGTGTTCCTCAAGAAGTCATTGTCCTGCCAAAAACACTAGGTAAGCAGTCTGTCTGGACACCAGCAGCCTGTAACTAGTCAGTTGCATACTCATCTCCTGTTCTTGACATGGAAGAATACATGGTTAAGCAGAGAAAGTAGTACTGAATCCTATCATCTCAATGTATAAAAATACAGACAAATACAAAGGTTAATGATTATATCTCTGGGTGATAAGATTATGAATGGCTTTGGTTTTGCCTGTTGGTGTATATTCTACAATGAAGTTTTTTGTTGTTATTTTGTTTTGTTTTGAGACAGCGTCTTGCTATGTAGTACAGGTTGCCTTGAACTCAATTATGTACCCCAGGCTGGCCTCTAACTCAATATGTAGCCCAGGCTGGTCTCTAACTCAAAGGGATCCTCCTGTACATGCCACCATATTTGGTTTTTTGGGCTTTGAGACAGGGTCTCCCTATGTTGTTCCGGTTGGTCTGGAATTCTGTGATCCTCCTAATTCAGCCTCCTGAGGACTGAGATAACAGGCATATATCATACCCCCACAGTAAATTTCTTCTAAATAGAGGAAAAGCTCCATAAACCATTACTTATGACCTTGAAAAAACACTAACCCGTTAAGTGCAGACATCTGGGCTCTACACCTAGATTTGCCATGGTTCACGACATGCTCTTGGGTAAGTCACTGAATTACCCTGAGCCTGATTCCTCCTCTGTAAAATGGGAGGATTAGACGAGCCTTCTGGTTTGCAAAGTTGGGATGGGAGAGGGGATCACCAAATGCTGAAATTGCCCTGTTTCTCCTCACAACCATGGTGGGCCAGTGTTACTGACAAGGGTGTCCCCAGAACTTCACCTTAAGCACGACGCTGAGGTCGTGCACTGGTTCCTCGTTGAGGTGCAGGCGGCCCGCCCGGACTGCAGCTTCGTAGTAGGCCAGCGGCTGGGCTCGGAACTCACTGCTGAAGACGTGCAGCAAGCTGTGGCCCACCCAGCGGCCTTTGCAGTAGGTCCGAAAGTCGAAGTAATAGGGTCGCACCTTGCGTAGGCCGCCCTCGAAGTAGTAACTGGTCTCGGCGAAGTGTTCGTCGCCAAAGCTGACCCCAGTTCGCCGCTTCTTCGGGGGAGGCACTACGCGCTCCCCAGTTGCGCCCCGTCGCTTCTTCCGCTTGCCTGGGTCGGTGGCTGGAGCTGACGCCTGGCTCCCGCTCTCAGGCGTCGCCTCGGCCACAGAGTCCGCTGGCCCCGGGGGCTCCTGGAGCGACTCGCCCCCCACGTCGCTACCACAGTCGCCGTTTTGTTGAGCCCGAGCCATCAGTTCGCCTGCTGCTGCGACTCCCGTAGACAGTGTTCCTGCCATCCGGTCCCTACAGCTACCCCAGGTCCTGGCAAAGCTGAGGACTCGGGGGTCAAAGCACCACAATACAAGACGCCCCAGCCACCAGTCACCATACAGCCGCATAACCGCGCGGCCTACATGCCAGTGTCGCGCTTTGATGGCGTCACTCGGCACCAGCCAATCAATGAGGCTACGTGTCTGGGCGGGTCTGCGTGCGTGAGAAACAGAGGCTGAGCCTGAAGATGTGTTATCAAAAGTGGTCACCTACCGGTGAGACGTGACGTTATTTCATAAAGGAAATCTTTGGGGTTGCACTGCGTAGAAGTCATATTAGGAGTGGATCTGGTACATCGGATGGTATCTCTCTTAGATGCGATGAAATATATAGTACTCAAAAGTTCCTTAGTTCCTTACACAAACGCTTGGAAGGATCTTTCGATAAACCAAACACCATCTCCTTTTGGTACATTTTGGTGAGTCAGGTTTCCCTATGTAGTTGAGACTCGTCTTAAACTCACTACGTAACCCAGGTTGGCCTCGAACTTGGCAGCGAAACTCCTGCCTCAGCGTGCGCCACTACATCTGACCCCCCTCCCCCCGCCAAAAAAAAAAAAAAAAAACACCTAGAATGAAAGTTGCTAAGCTCTGTGAGTGTACTAAAAACCATCTATTGTATACTTTTAAAGAGTGGAGAAAAAGTGAAAAGAACTGTCTGTTATAGTATGTAACATATACAGAACGGTATTATAGTATATGACAGTTGAATAAAACTGTTGTAATGCTCGGTGTGGTGGTGCACACCTGTAATCTTAGCACTCAGGAGGCTGAGGCAGGAGGATTGTTGGGAGTTCGAGGCCAGACTAGGCTACAAAATAAGCTCAAGATCAGCCTGAACTGCATAGGAAGACCCTATCTCAAAAAGACAGGAAAAAAAAAAGTAATCTTTTCCATACATTGCAAGCACACACTCAGGCACTAGAGGCAAACTACAACTGTTCTTCTCTCTAACAACATAAGAATTAGAGGTTTCCCATTATCTCCCATTGCTCCTATCCTAATGCACAGGCGCAATAAATCTGCAAGTGAATCAGAAAACTGTATTGCTAGGGTTCTTAAGTGCAAAGTGCTGAAACAACTGGCTAACTTCCTCAGAGAGGGAATTACTGAAAGGATACTGGTGCCTTGTAGATTCTGCAAGCAAGCTGGAGAATAAGCTCATCCAAAGGACTGAGTGAGGGAAAGCAAAGAACCAGCCATCTGTTGCTAGAGAAGAAAATGAGTGAAGGTGCTATAGTTACCAGGTACCCTGCTATGCCCTGGGGTCTTTGTACCATTTGTCTCTGTCTGTCTCGATCTCTGTCTCTGCCTCTGTGTGCCTCTGCCTTTGCCTGCCTGCCTCTCTCTCTCTCTCTCTCTCTCTCTCTCTCTCTCTCTCTTTTTCTCTCTCTCTCTGTTTTTGTTCATAATCCTTAAAACAAAACAAAAAAACCCTTCCACCATCAGCCAAGCTTAAGTTTCAGGTCTGGTACTTCCAGGGTGTCTAGTGATAAAAGAATTTGATTTTCTTTAGTTTTTAGAGTGAAATTCTTGCAAGTACGTAGTTCTTCCAATGCTAGGGACTCTCTAAAAAGGACAAATGTCAGTCAAGGCTAAGTCATTCAGGAGACTTAGCCTTTATGATATAAAATATTAGTGTAATGCATGTAAGAATGGTAGGGCATTCTTATATGCGCTACACTTTGCAGAGGAGTAAAAGTAGTTTTCTTTCTTTTCATTTTTTCTTTTTTGATATATTCCTTCTGTAACTCATCAATCTTATCAAACTAACAAAGGTACCTATAGCTGACAGTCTTATTTCAGAGCAGTTTGAGATAGACACAGTTATAGAACTCCGTATGTTAAAAAAGTCTAATTTCTGATTGCTTCCTCAAAATGAGAAATGGAATTTTCCAGTGAGTGTGGGTCCACCCGAGAAAAACTGCTTCAAAAGGAAACCACAGTCTCTCAAGTGAATCACCTGAGAAATTCACAATAAAGATAGCATCTTATCCAAAAGAAAAATGTTTTAGCATAGACATTGATTCGCAGTTTATAGATGCTGAGTCCCCATGAGCAGCCATGTTAGTTTCTCCTGCATGTTTTTTTTTTTTTTTTTTTTTGCAGTACCAGGAAGTCACAACTTTGCGCTTGCCAGGCAGACGCTTATGCCACTGAGCCAAATCCCTGGCCCTCCTGCATGTTTTTGAAGTAAACTATCAATCCACAAAATTATTAAGAACGACAAATGGGAGCTTTATGACTTGACCTTGGCACCATCAGCACCAGGAATGTACCTGATGCCCTTGGTACTAGTTTAAAATAAACCAGGTATATCCTAGTTTGAAGTCTGCCACATCCATGAGAACTCTCTAAGTTCCTGGTGTGATGAATGACAATGAGAGGATAAAGAAAATAAAGATAGAGACAGAAAGCTGGAGTCAGGTGGAGTCCTTCCTCTGGATGGGAGGAAAAGACCACCCAACCACTACAATGTATTTATTTATATATTTGTCATAGGATGCCCCTTTGCTTGACTAGCTCGCTTCTTATACCTGGTATTTTTGGGGCTGGAACACTTGTTCACCTCTAGTGCTCCATCCCCTTGGGGACTTTCTTAGGCCCTCTGTGCCTTTGGGGTGTTCTTGGGGCACTCTGTGCTTTCCACTCTGCATGTGTGAATGATTGATCACTAGCTCAGCAACTCTCAACAGAAGTCACTTTTTAAAATTTTATTATTTTGAAGTCACTTCTGTTCTGACCACAATGTAAGTCTCCTTATCTAACCCAAATTCCAAGAGCCATTGATCTTGCTGCCATGTAGGCCCCAGTTGCTGTCTGTAAGTTCTCAGTAAGCCCCATCCGCACAGTCCTAGGATTGCCTCTTTCTTTGATCCCACAGTAAAGGACTGGTCCTCATTCCCTGGGGCCAGTTTGTGTTGGAACAGAGTAAGAAGAATTAAATAAGGCATTAAATAAGGCAAGTGAAACATTTAAGTAGTGTTTGGCAAAATTATGGAGATAGGAAACAAAAATTTTGTTGGTCCCCATCCCAACTCTTTTTGATCTGCTGAAGGAGAATCTACACTTTTAACATGATCCTCAGGTAATCCGTTCTTCACAGTAAAGCTTGAGAAGGAATGACAAAGAACATATGGAATCAGCATTTGTTGTACTCCAAGGACATCAGGATCTTCTGAAGACAGTGTGTGTGAAATTGCTTACAGTACATTACTATCTCGAAGAGTTGGAAGCCAGATACCCACTGTCCCAGCCTCCCTGCAGCAGGATTTTGCTGTGGCTTGACTAGCCTCAAACTCACAATCCTTTTGCCTCTGCTTCCCAAGAAGTTGACTCCAGTGCCCCTTTCTGTGAATCAGATACTCTGTATTAGCACAATTTACAGGGAATAAACAAATGGTTAAAAGAAGAAGAAAGCAAAGGGGATAAAGTGAAAATGCTGTTCAGAAATTCAAGCTGGAGAGTTGAGGAAGGGCAGGTGTCACATACTAGATTCTATAACTCAGACACTGGGTACTGGATCTTTTTCTAGGAATAAGCATTTCCAAACTCTTGCCTATTGTTTTTTACTGTTTTCTGTTTGCTTGTTTTAAGACAGGGTCTCACTATATAATTAAAGCTGGCCTTGAAGTCACTATGTATCCCAGGCTGGCCTCAAAGTCATGGCATTCCTCTCGCCTCAGCCTCCTTAGTGCTGATATCACAGACGTGACACTATTCCCAACTTCTTCTTTGTTTTTTTTAAATCTCCTTGCTTTTCACATTCTTTACACAGATTTTCTAAGAACTGTTGTTTGAGCAACAGAGTACCTTGTGGTAGTACTTTCACAGGGTTATAATTGTCACTACCATAGTTCCACTGATTGTTGGACACATGTAAAGCCAAGACCCTCAGCCAAGTTTCTCTTACTAGTGCTTGACGTCTTTCATCACGTTTCTTTGGGAGACAGTAACAGTCCTGGAAACAGGGACCGGGAAGGTTGTGATTAAATGAACCTGCTGATATCCCCTGAAGAATATCAAAGGTCATCTTTAAAAAGCACCCCGACGTAAATTCTTTTTTTTAATGTACTTTGGGCACACTTCTGTCATGACCTCTGTGGCTGTTTTTATTTTTTCTCCTTCCTTCCTTCTTCCTTCTTTCCTTCCTTTTTTCTTTCCGAGACAAGATTTCGCTACGTAGTTCAGGCTGGCCTGGAACTCACGGCGATCCTCACTGCTGGGAGTACAGGAGTGCACCAGCATGCCTGATGCTGTGGCTGTTATTTGTTCCTTTCTCTGCCTCTTCGACAGACCTGGTCCTGGCAGACAAATTGTAAGCAACTCTGGGACCCATTCCAAGTCTAACATAATGCCCACAATACAGCCAGAGCTTGATTGTCTGCTGGCTGGATAAACGTAAACCTCATAATTCAGTGAAAGGGGCATGGGTCTCCTGTGACAGTATGAAAAGAAGCAAAGATATGAAATAAACACCCGCCCAGAGAATTGCCTGAGAGGTGAACTTACACAGAGGACCAAGAAAAGTCAAAAGTCTGGAAAACTAGGCTTTCTCATGAGCAGAAAACTGGAATTCCCAGGGTCCACAAGAAACCAAATCCCGCAAGGCTCCGGCCCGAGACTCCGTCGTTTCTGGGCAGCAATAGCCCCGCCTAGTACCTTCTCCCTAGACCAATGTATTTACACTACGTAGCTGGACAGGACGATAATTGGAGGACTCCTAGGCTACGTCACTTGGCGACTCCTCCCCCGCTGCCTTCTTCCGGGCTGGGCATTTCTGACCTGAATAGTTCCTTTGAAGGGTTCCGTGCAGGCGTTTACGGTAGGTAAAGTGGGGCCAGGGTACCCAGCGATTTGTATCCCCTATCCCGGCCTGACCTCCGAATACCACAGAGGATATTAAGGACCCTGTTCGTACGCCCCAGCCAGCCCTTGAGGCCGAAGCGATTGTGGCCTGGGGTCCCGACACAGGGTTTTCTGAATGTTTATGGATGCCCTGTGGGCGGGGGCACACGGTTTGGCAGGAGCAGAGTTTTGGTTTGGGTGTTTTCGAGGATTTAAGATTGAGGCTTCATCATTTCACTCAATGCCGTAGTGACAAATGTGTCTCATTTCCTTTGGGCCTTTGGGCTGCCTGGGCTCTCTTGAAATTTTTCAATTTTTCTTTTTTTTTTTTTTTTTTTGTCTTTTTCGTTTTCGTTTTTATCGGTAGCAGGGATCGAACTCACGACTGCCTGCTTGCAAGGCAGGCGCTTATGCCGCTGAGCTAAATCCCCAGCCCCTCAAATCTTTCACTAGGCAGCCTTCCGGATATCCGAGATTCCTGCTTGGAAGGTGTCGGTCTATCCTGTAAACCTAAATGGTTAGGGACACTCCCCTCTCCCGGACGCTCCTTCCCACCTGTCCTCCTTCAGTTTCAGGAAACTGAAAGCAGTTTCACTTCCCAACAGGAAGAGTACAGAGTGGATTTTGAAGCCCGGCACGTTGGCTCATATTGTAATTCCAGCACTTTGGGAGGCTGAGCTCAGCAGGAGGGCTCAAATTCGAATCCTTCCTAATTTGGTGAGATCCTGTGGGTTGGGGTGGTGGTGCTCAGTGTTCAAAGGCCTTGGATTCGGTCCCCATTACCTGCCCCCTCGAAAAAGAGAAAAAAAGATTTTGGAGCAGTGTAAGTCTGAATTTTAGTGTGCCCTTCTGGGACTCAGTTTCTTGTTCTGTAAAATACTGAAAATACTTATATTTTAGTGTTTGTATACCGTACTAACTTTCTTGACTTGGTTATTACACATTATGTACATGTTTTACCACACTGCACCCTTTAAAATTTACAATTAAAATAATAATAAAATTTTAAGTGATGTGTGTGTGTGTGTGTGTGTGTGTGTGTGTTTTAACTAGAGGCAATCCTGCCTCAGCCTCTCCAGTGCTGGGATTACAGGTGTAAAAAACAATTTTTAAAAAAAGGAGTATAAGTTAATGTAGTCCAGTTACCATATGTAACGAGCGCATGCTCCTTGTATTATGACAATACTGACAGAGTCTTTTTCACTATGCAACACTTCTTATCTTAAGATATATGAGACTGAAGACCTTTAGTCTGCCCTACCAAAGACAAAATTTAACTGACTGCTAGAGGAGTTGCATTTTAGAGACACTTTGGAAGGACTTTGGAGAAAAGTGTCCCTGGTTGTTCACACTGGAAGCATCCTAGAAACTCTTCTGTGTGTGTATGTGTTAATATGTTAAAATATACATAATACAAGATTTTTCATTTTAACTTTTTTTTCTCAGTAATGTGGATTGAACCCTTCATTGAGCTACATTGTCAGACCTTATTTATTTATTTACTTATTTTTTAACTTTTAAAACAAGCCTTCCTTAAGTCAGTAAATTGCCCAGACTAGGCTTACACATGTGATCTTCCTGCTTCAGTCTTCCAGCATGCTAGGATTACAGAGACAAGCACCACCATGACTGGCTATTTTAGCCATTTTTCTATGTACTGTTCACTGGCATTCACATTTTTGTGCAATCATAGCTACCATCCATTCCCAGGAGTTTTTCATCCTCTCACATAGAAACTCTACCTGTTGAACAGTAACTCTCCATTTTCCCCTCCCTTCAGCTTAGGTGACCACCATATTTTTTATCAGTTTGACTCTAGGTAGTCAAACTGTGGAAACATACAATGTTTATCCTTTCATATTTGTGTTGGGATGTAGAAATTCCATTTTCAGAGGCATATCTTTATTTATTTATTTTTTTTGTCTTTTTCCTTTTTATCAGTACCAGGGATCGAACTCACGACTGCCTGCTTGCAAGGCAGGCGCTTATGCCGTTGAGCTAAATCCCCATCTCCCCAGAGGCATATCTTATGAAGACAACTTGAGTGTAGAGCCAAAGAAAGAATTTAGTTGTTCTTTTGTCATCTTGATCTGTTATATAAATCTAACAAGATATTTTATATTTTTTGTTATAAGAAACATCTTAAAAACCTGTTATTGTTGGGAGTTTATAAGTACCTGCCTGGCAAGCGCAAGGTATTACTTTTTTTTCCAAATGCATAAACAAATAACATGAGTACTGCACATGTGTACTATGTCCTGCAACCTCATCCTTACTTGTCTGAACTTGTTTTCCAGCTTAGACTCCAAATGAAAATGTTTGAGAATGTTGACTCCACAGCCACAGAATCTGGCAGGGATCTCTGGTCTGAAATCTGTTCCTGTCTGCCAAATGCTGACCAAGAGGATGTGAGCAATGCCTTCTCAGACTCTTTTGTAGATTCTTACCCTGTGTGTAAAGACCAGGGACAGGCAGCAGATTTTGCTGTCCAGTCAGCTATAAAGCCCTGGGCTCCCCTGCAGGACTCAGAAGTGTATTTAGCCTCTCTAGGTAAGTTGGATAGTTCTTTTTATCTTTTTTAAATCAGAAGCTGGTCGTCTTATTTATTTAGGCAGTTCGAGGATTGAACCCATGGCCTTCATACCAAACTACATTCCCAGCCATTGTATTACATTGTATTGTATTTTGATCTTTTGAGGCAGAGTGTCACTCTGTAATATAGACTGAACTTGAGCTCATTAGGTAGTCCAGGCTGGCCTCAAACTCACAGAATTCTGCTTCAGTCTCCTGAGTGCTAGGATTACAGTTGTGTGCCACACCTAGATCTTCCAGTCCTCTAAAAAAATGTTTTCATTTTATTTTGAGTTAGAGTTTTGCTAAATCACTAAGTTGCCCAGGTATGGCCCAAATATTACTTTAGCCTCCTGAGTGTTGGAGTTAAAGGCTTGCACCACTTTGTCTGGTTTTAAGCTGGTGGTTTTAGGGAATCATGTTGAAGTCATGCTGAATCGTCAAACTGTTTCCTTTTTTTTTTTTGAGATAAGGTCTTGCTCTGATTCAGGTTGGCCTTGGCCTTACTATGTGGCTCATGGCAGTCCTCCTGGTCAGTCTCCTGAGTGCTGGGATTATAAGCATGTTCTACCATACCTGGCTCAGTTTCCTATTTTTAATCTTTTGTTTTGTCCTCACCATGTGTATCTGTCAAATGTAATTCAGGGAGATGTTTCATGTTGTTTATTAGGAAGGAAGCCTCTCTTTTGTACTTCCCTTAAAACAGTTTTTGTTGCTGGACATGGTAGCACACATCTGTAGTCCCAGAACTTGGAGGCTGAGGCACGAGAATTACTATGAGTTTGAGGCCAGCCTGGGCTACATAGCGAATTCATAGCTTGAATTACAGAATGAGACCCTGTCTCAAAAAAAAAGTTTTTGTCACTTCCAGTTACTAACCATTTCATTTAAATTCTGTTCTATTAAATAAATTTAGTGTTGAAAATGGGAGTATGTTGAAGTGATTTATTTTGTAGGCTTTTTTTTTTTTTTTTTTTTGGTACCAGGGATTGAACTCACAACTGCGCATTTGCAAGGCAAGGTGCTTATGCCACTGAGCTAAATCCCCAGACCCACTGTAGGCTTTTTGGAGGGAAAAACAAAGCAAAACAAAACTTTCTGAACATGTTTTTAGTGCCCTATCCTGTGATCAGAGAATCTGCGGTGACATGGGAGTGACATTCACATTGTCTCATGTTAAGAGAAAAAGAAAAGCCAGGCATGGTGGCACATGCCCGTAATCCTAGCACTCAGGTTGAGGCAAAAAGATCACCACAAGTTCAAGGCCAGTTGGGGTTACATAATAAGCCCTTATCTAAAGAAAAGAGAGAGAGAGGGAGGGAGACAGACAGACAAGACAGACCAATGTAGGATAGTGATTGGCAGTCTTTGGAATTATGGTATGTTTTTTAAAAAATTATTTTCTGACACATAAAAACAAAAAATGTGAATACTAATGGGGAAACCATGTAGTGTTTTGATATGTACATATATTGTATAATGTTTAAGATAAACATATCTAATCTATTACTTACGGTGGAAACTTTCAAAGCCCTTTCTTCTGTTTTTCTGTTATTGCTGAACACCCAAGAGATATACCTGTGTGTCATGAAACATTTGAGGAAGGAAAGACAATTCAGGAAGAAAGAGTTTGTGAAGAAGGACATAGAAGAATCACATCAGAGGAGACCTTCTGTGATTGCTAAGAAATATCTTAAGAAGGGGTCAGGGCTATAGCTCAGTGGCACAGTGCCTCCTTGGCAAGCACAAGGTTTTGAGTTCAATCCCTGATACAAAAAAAAAAAAAAAAGAAAGAAAGAAAGATCTTGGGAAAACAAAAGGAATTTTATTAATATACTGCATAAAAATAAGGTTGAAATTACAGAGAACAAGAGAGACGAGGGAGTAATATGAAATTCGTTGGAAACCTACCAAAAATGGAATAGTAATGCTTGTAGTTGTGGCCAATGAGGTTGGAAGTTGTGCTTATGGTAACCAGAGCAAGTGCCCAGGAGTTATAAGAAACTCTCAGAGAGATGCTCATAGTTTTGACTGATAAAGACTGATTTGAAAAGCTGAAATTCTACTGATCATCTCTAAAAATCAGTTAAGAAAATGATAATTAGAATGTCCTTCACAGGAAAATAAGAACCCTGTTATCTAGGGAACGGACTGGGTAACAAGGGTAGGCAGGTTTGGAGTATATAAAGCACTTCTTTGTGCCTGCCCCCTTTGGGACCACACATGATCAGGAACTTCCACACTCAAGAGAGGGAAGACTGGGCCAGGGATGTAGGTCAGTAGCACAAATACCTGCCTAGTAAGCATGAGGTCATGAGTTTGATCCCTGGTACCACCAAAAAAAAAAAAAAAGGAGAGAGAAGAAGACCTTTTCTAGCCCCAAAGAGTATCTTTCACGATGACAATCAAAGCTAGACAATACGAGAATTGTTTTTATTGCCTGATAACTTGTGTCAAAAAGAATGCACTGATAAGAACATAATTAAAAACTTAGCTAGTTAAACATGAGATGTGCATAACCCTTTTTATAATACTCAGGGAAAGAGAAAGCCCCTCAAATACTCTCCTTTATGTACTGCAGCCTCTTACATATGTGTATTCTCAATAACAACTTACAGCAACACAGGGTTTTCTGCTTTCATCAGTGGGGTGTTATCTGATGTGATTTGCTTAGAAACGAAAACTGGATTGCGTATCATGAAGTTTCTAGTGGCTTTGCATTTGGTATCCATTTCCCCCTTCAAAAAATAAAAATAAAAATAAAAAAGTCAAAAACTCTTATTTACCTGTGCACATTTACAGTTGCTTACCAGTAGGGGTATCCAGGAAATACTGTTAAGTTTCACCACTGTTTGGACATTGGGGACAGTAATTAAAGACAGCCAGGGTATCACTGAGTGATATAATTTTTTGGAACTATCCTCATGTATGTGGTCTGTCCTTTACCAAAACAACATTATTTGGAACATTTGAGGGCAACACTGAATTAAGGAAGAAGGTAACTGGTGATGTGCTTTCTTGTATTCTTCAAAAGAGAAATTTGTTTAACAGCTATACTTAAAACACAAAGAAGAATAATTAAACATCTATCATCAGGCAACCATATGGACTATTCTCACAGGGATTAAAAGATGCTTCTTTTTATTAGGCTGCAATATCCAGGCCGCAAATTGAGCAATTTTTTTTAGTGTTGGAAGATTCTTTTTCTTTAATCAAGAATTTAATCACACAGAGATCTTAAAGGTCTCTTATTATTGAGTTCTCATCAAGCCAATTTTAGTGTTTAATGAACCATTGGATCTCTCATCATTTTCTCTAATTCTTTCTCATGAGGTTTGGAAACCACTTCATGTCACTTTAACAAGTGAAAAAGCCATTTATTCCTCGGAGACATTTTCAAGGAGTCAAAAAAAGATGATAGCGTACACATGTCAAGCTGGGGAAAGCAAGCATTCCTTCAAGAGATGCCTGCTGACTTACATGATTTCAGAGACAGCATACTGGTGGCTATTTATGAGAACCTATGGCCTTTTCATCTTCTGAGGTTAAATATTTATTTGATACAATACAGAATAAACATGCCATGAAGGAAAAGGAGTATGTTTGATCCCTTTTTGTCTATCCTTTAAAAACTAGCTGTTTTGCAGGGAATGCAGATGTACTAAACAGTGAAAGAATTGTTATATTTGCATTTTAGATTTAGTTGAAACTTCATTTCATACTCACTTTCCTTGCTAAGCTCCATTTCTGGTTTCTTTAGAGAAGAAACTAAGAAGAATCAAAGGTTTAAATGAGGAAGTGACTTCCAAGGACATGCTGCGAACCCTGGCCCAGGCCAAGAAGGAATGCTGGGATCGGTTCCTCCAGGAGAAGTTAGCATCAGAGTTCTTTGTAGATGGACTTGATTCTGATGAAAGGTAACTGATTCCCAGTCCCTTTCTGGTGGCAGTCTGTTTCTCTGAGAGAACACTTCTCTTTCTGGAATGCATTCAAGGATACCGGTATCTGGGTCTCATACTAGCTGATATTGACATTAGCTCTCTGAGCTGAAACAGTCTTTCTGAGTTTGCTGTTTTTATTCTTAACCTTGCAGATATTTTTCTGTTTGTTGGTTTTTGTGTTTTTGAGACAGAATCTCACTATGTAGTTCAGGCTGGTCTTGAACTATGTAGCCCAGGCTGGTCTTGAATTTAAGGAGATTTTCTGCCTCAGTCTCCTAATTTCTGGGATTATAGGTGTGCACCACTATTTCCAGCTGGCCTAGAAGATTTTTGAGAATAATAATTTTTGTCAAAAGGCAAAGACCCCAGCTAGGTTCTGTTCACAGGTTGAATTGCGTTGAGAGACCACTATCTTCATTTATAGGGATGTAATGCACTCGAAAAAACTAGTAATCAGTCAGCAATTAGAACCCTGTCTTTTTACCTCTGAATCTCCATTGCCTTACAGAGTTTCTGTCATATTGTAGCCACTCAATAAACATGTATAGACCAAATTAATAAAGTATGTCCTGTAGGGTGACCCTGTGCTAGCTGTCATGGAAGAATGTTATAAGGAAGTTTTAGGCTCCCCAGTCTTTCCTTTTTTTGGGAGGAATGGGTCCTCAGACCCAACTAGAGATAAATGAAAAATACGGTGTGACTTCAGTTCACCAGAATTTTCATTTGCAAGCAATTTGGCTTGCAAACAGAAGCATTGGGCAAAATTTTGTTTTTGTCTACAAACCCTGCATCAGGTAACATGACCATAGCCATCTTTCCCACACAGATACAAATGTGGCCAGCTTTTCCAAAATCATAGAACAAGTTAAGTTCATGAATCAACATATCATTGTATGAATGGAGATATACCTTAGCTGAGTTTAAACAAACCTTTTAAGAGACCAAGTGTCCAAACTACAACCCAGAACCCACAGATTTAATGAAAAGTGCCAACATTGCAATTAAAACTGAATACTGAGGTTTTAGTTTAGAAAAAATAACTCATTAACATCTTTTGTCCTGAAAGAAAATCACCATAACAGCTTTTAGTGATACAAACAGCTTTTTACTGAAAGGTAAAAGCTTGACTTTGGTGTAGTTTTACACAGTTAATGTGATCTTTGCTGTTGTATGCATGCTGATAGCTTGTCAGACTTTGGCTCCTATTTGCTTAGTTTAAGAGCAACACATGCAGCACTCAGGTCATCTGTTACTCTTGTATCACAGTTGGTATAATTCACAACTGAAAGCATCTGTTGAAAGAATAAGATGATCCAAACAAAGGAAGAAAAGCAATTCCAACTGCTTTCTTTTTCTCTTTCCTTTCCTTTTCTTTTTTTTTTTTTTTTTTTTTTTTTGCTGCTTTTCATACTGGGAATTGAACGCAGTACTTAATGCTTGCCAGGCAGGCACTGTGCCACTGAGCTATATCCCTGGCTCCTGAGTGCTTTCACTGACTTAAAATTATTTGGTAGAGAATTTCATCCTTTAAGGATTTTGTTTTCAGAACTACCAAGCATGCTGTCCTTTGTCATCCCTTCAATACTCTATTTTCTATCTCTTCTGTATTCCTCTAGATAGAGCTTTCTTGAAATCCCAATAGCTCCATTTCCAGACTTCCAAAATCTTTTTTTTTTTTTTTTTTTTTTTTGTCTTTTTCCTTTTTATCGGTACCGGGGATCGAACTCACAACTGCCTGCTTGCAAGGCAGGTGCTTATGCCACTGAGCTAAATCCCCAGCCCCCCAGATTTCCAAAATCTAACCAGTATTAGCAGAAAGATGAAGTTCATCTAGTTTGGCTTTATCTGGAGAAGTCAGAAAACACAGGTTTGTCTCCACCTTATAGGACTGTAAAATTTTGTTACTAAGATTCTCCTTTGCAGCTACTACAATGCTAAAAAATTCCTTGTAGATTTTCTGATGGCTTGTAGGCTTGTCTGCAAACGTAGAATTTCCTGAATGCATTTTGGATTTGGAAAGTATTTCTGCTGCCTACTTTAAAAGTCTCTTGCAAAAACCTGCAGTTTTCTCTCAAATACTTTGATATTATGAATTTTTTTATTATCCTTCCTGCTGTTTTCCCTACACGTTGCCATTTTTTGTTTAGTACATCCAAGTGTAGTGTAAAATTTGTTAAAGATACAAAAAACATCAGGTTGTTAAGTTAGGCCATATCGGTGAGCTATGGCTATTCCTGCCCTTTTATGCCCAAACAGCCTAATTTCATCTGAGGATGTCGTCTTAAGTTTTTGCTGCTTTCCCTAGCATAAAGAGCTTCTTGGTGTATAGTACAGTAAAACTGAATGACGGAATGTTTTGCTTCTTTAACAAAGAACTGTATGAAACCAGATGTTGGCCCCACTATGCCTGGTGCTTCATCACTAATAACTTTTTTTTGGTACCAAGGAATGAACTCACGGCCTCAGGCTTGCCAGGCAGGCACCGTGCCGCTGAGCTATATCCCCAGCCCCTCCATCACTATTAGTTAGCACTACTAGTTAAAAAATTGAATACTCTCTGAATCAATAATCTCTGGCAGTGATTCTCAGATGGGATTTCTCTTCAGTTTTCTGATCACCATTGCAAGAGGGCAGTGTTCCACTGACCATCAGCTTTGGCTCTGAAAAAGGCATCTGAGAGCATGTCCTACCTTAAGGAAGCTTCTGCTAAAAACATCACATCGATGACATTGATTTTGAAAGTCTATAATGTCAGATGAAGATGTTGCTGCTAAAATCACGGACAGTATGAAAATAACACTTCATAGTTGCATTTTACTGGTCAGGCATGGTGGTGCATCCCTGTAATCCCAGCCTAGGTTACACAGTGAGTTCAAGACCATTTTCAGCCACATAGTGAGGTTAAGACTGAACTACATAGCGAAACCCTGCCTCAAAAAAAAAAAAAAAAAGAAAGAAAGAAAAGAATAGAAAAAACTAAAACCATAGTTACATTTTACTTTTTAATTTACAGTGAGCTTTCACTTAAATTACCTCAGTTATTTGATCAGCATGTCCTCAGACCCCTCACAAATCAGGGTGGCATCAAAGGTCAGGCCAACTACCCTCAAGAGCTCAGAAAATATAAATTTTGCCTTTTCCGTCTCCAAAGGCTCAAACTAATTGAGGCTCAAACTGAGAAGACAAAGCTTCTCCATAATTCTCTACAGGAATGCTTTCTCCAAAATCATCTCAGCATGTTTCTGAGCATCTATATCTAAAATAATTTGTCTCTTTCCCTTTTTTCTTTCTTTTTTCCTTTTTTTTTTTTTTTTTTGTGGCTCTAAGAATTGAACTGAAGGCCTTCACACTGAGCTACATCACTAGACTTTTAAAATTTTTTTTTGTTTTATTATTTTATTTTGAGACAGAGTCTTACTAAGTTACCCAACCTTGGGGACTTGGGGTCCTCCTGCCTCAGCCTCCCATAGTTCTGGGATTATAGACATGCACTACCACGCCAGACTTGCTTTCTCTTGTTTCTTTTCCTTTTTGTTTTTCTTCCTCTGTCTGTCCTCCCCCGCCCCCGCTTTGGTGTTTTTAAGGCAGGGTCTCACCTTGTAATACAGGCTGGCCTCAAACTTTAGGTAATCTTGCTTCATCTTCCTGAGTGCTGGATTACAGGCATGTGCCACCATTTCTGGCTGCTTTCTCTTTTCTGTAGAAATAATTTGGACAATAGTTAAATGTTTCAGGGGCTGGGGATTTATTTCAGTGGCATAAGCGCCTGCCTTGCAAGCAGGCAGTCGTGAGTTCGATCCCTGGTACCGATAAAAAGGAAAAAGACAAAAAATAAATAAATAAATAAATAAATAATAATACAACATGTTTTTTTTTAAAAAAAATAGTTAAATATTTCTGTCACACATGATTCTCATAAGATGTGGGCACAAGAATCAGTCAGCTGTTTGTATCCCTCCGATGTTTGGATTCACTCCCGGCACCTCCATCTGTGGGAATACCGCCATCATTGTTCAGAACAAACACCAGGAAATCGTAGTTATATGCTTGTTTTCACACTGCCAAGCTTATGGGTTTTTTTTTCTTTTATTCCGTTATAAAATTGAAGTTTATTCCTTAACTATCAGGTTTAGTTCTAGTTTCTGGGATAAAAGGGGTGACCAGGATGCGATGAGGATAAATTAACATAAGATAGGAGTAGATACCACATGGAAAACTGACGTGAGAGGGTTACTGCAGTAGAGAGGCGTCCTTGGAGACATTATCTGAGCCGGAGACTAAAGCACCTTAACCTCAAAAATGAAGTCCAGGTCATTACATTCAGAGCGGCTGCTCGCAAAAGTGGGGCACGCTCACACTCAACTGAGACTTTCCACAAGAAAAGAGATCCAAAGACCAGGGGTCGCTCTGGCCATTCCAATTCCATCTGCATCCACTGAATCCCGGCGAGGCTCCCCGGCAGGAAGCATCCCGGCCAGCCACAAACACTGCAGGGCATTTACGAGGCGCACGCTGAAACCACCCTGTGACAAATCAGTAAACCAAAGCAAGACAAATCCACTCTCAACCCCACAGTAGCAAAGCACAACCCTGGGATACGAAGCCCGAAGGCTGCTTCCTTGTCCGGCCAGCAGGAGCCAGGCAGAACCCGGAAGACTCCCACCCTCGCCTAGGCGTGGCCCAAAAGGAGAACTCCAAGCTTATGTTTTAAACAGGTGATTTTGTAGGGGACCATGTGGGCTAGGTAGGTGACTCTTATGGTATACTTTTGGCAAAGTATTAATGGGCTAAGAAATCCAACTGCCTAAAACATAATCCTCCCATGCACTGACCAGTATGTCAAATCTGCAGTTAGAGATTTGTACTAATAAAGACCGTGGAATAAGATTTACTTTATTTCTAGTCACTTGTATTTTACTGTGAATGTCTAATAGCCATAGAGTATGAGACCTGGGGTACTTGTGGAAGTGGGAGCGGGACTAGAGCCCCATAGTCACACTTCCCTCCTCTCTACACAGCAAAACAAAATAGCATATGCACCATTCCTGTGTAGGAAGTTGCAAATTCCATTTGCTGCTCGGCTGTTTCTACCTCAGAGACTTGCTAGGGGATGAAATAACTCACATCACACTTCCTACAGTAAGTGCTGCACTGCATGTATAATTGAGCCTCAGACCTCCTCAGGTGTGAGAGATTTAAAGATGCTCAACTTCTGCCTCACTAATAGTTTGGCATTTGAGTGTTTCTTCCCCTTGACAGTGTCTCTCTTTCAGTTTTGAAGAAGAAAGATAGGACCAAGGCGCACACTCCTCAGCTATTCTTATCAAGCCTTCTGAGGCTGCAGTTGAAGAGGGCTTGGTGCTGATTAAAACCCAAGTGCCCTCTAGGGGGTAAATTATGCCTGGGAGCTGCCAGGATGCACAGCTGTCAGAGGAGCATGGCTGCTCTCCCCAGTCAGCAGTGAAAAACAATTGTGGGAAGACACTGGTGATGGGTGGGAAGGCAGAGTTTGAGTAACTGAGCTAATTATTAAGTAATTAATCGGTGAAGTCTGCTATAGCCACCCTTTTCTTCTGCTCCTTCACAGCACCTTGGAGCATTTCAAGAGGTGGCTGCAGCCAGACAAAGTTGCCATCAGCACAGAAGAAGTCCAGTACCTGATCCCACCGGAGTCACAGGCTGAGAAGCCAGCAGCGGAGGACAAGGCGGCAGCAGCAGAACAATAAATCTCCCCCACACACCAGGCAGCTGTCTGGAGTCCAGAGGGAGCCGCTGAGAGCGGTGTTGGCAGCAGTGAGGAGAAATCCGGGGAGGGAAAAGCCCAAGCTTCCACTCCACAAAGCACACGGTTGCAGGCCCCTGAGGACTTGCTCAGGACCGACATGGGTGACTTAAATGACTGACCCAGCACGTGCTGGATCAGAATCTTGCCTTCCTCACTGACTCTTGGTTTGCTGGAGCTCCACTGCTACCAGTTAGAAGTCTGCCGAGGACCTAATGGACTAAGTGTGCGAGCGCTCCGCAGCACTGTGCCCTTATGTAGAATGGGCACATTAAGTGAGCCATAGTTTTCCTGACCTCTTCTGGGTATGCATGCCTGTGTCCCCAACACGCCCTTGGTACATTGTCAGGGGTGAGTGAAAGAGCAAAGTCAGCTTCCTGGGAACTGAGCCCACGTGGGGGTTCTCTAACAAATCTTTAGTAAATAGAGAGACTCAAGGAGGCTGGGCTTTTCTTTGTTTCTTGTGGAGAAAATCGGCTAAAGAAGTGTGAAAACATGGGTGTTTATATCTGTGTAGAGTTTTTTATTTTATGCATGGTTTATCCCCCAACTTCCTCCTGCACCGATTTCCAAATTAGACTTGTAAATGTGGTTTAGTGTTTTACACTACTCCTATATAGTTCCAGATTTGTTCTGTGGCAGCTTTTCTGGCTGCGCCTACATTTTCCTCCTTTTTATGGTGTCCTTGTTCATATAAACATAGAAAGTATATGTTGTGCTAATGAAACTTTTTCATCAGAGTAGCTGTGTGTGGTGCTATTGACTAGGTTTCTTCCAGAGGGACGCAGTGGGGAGGTGAGGACAAATGTGTGTTGTGCAGGGGAGATGATAGCCTCTGCTGTCCTCTTGTGTTTAATGCATAGTCTCTGATAATCCAAATTTTGGTGTTTTGAGGAAAGGATTCTGAGGCCATGGCTCCATTGAACTTTTTCCTGGGTAATAGTTTCCAAATTTCTCCTAATGAGCAGAGTGGCCAGTATTGGCTCAGTTCTGAGTCAAGTACTTGCCTTACACAAAAGGATAGGAACCAACTATACATTTGTTTAATGCTATGAATATTTTTGTTACAGTTTTTAGATATACTTTTTTGTTCTTTTTAATTGACTGAACATGGTAGCTTTATTTTTTACTACTTTGATAGCAGGATATTTTTGACAGAATGTGGCCCAAAGCCAGGCATGGTAGTGCATACCTGTAATCCCAATACTTTGGGAAGCTAAAGCAGAAGAGAGTCAGAAATACAGCTTAGCGCTTAGTGCCTGCCTGGGAAGCATAAGGTCGTGAGTCCCTGATACCTAAATAAATAAATTTTTTAAAAGGAGAATTACAAGTTGAAGCCCAGCCTGGGCACCTTAGTGACTCGGTGAGACCCTGTCTCAAAATATTTAGAAAGGCCTGGGGATGTAGCTCTGTGAATACCCTGTGTTCAATCTCCAGTACCAAGAAAACCCCCACAAACAAACAAAAAGTACATACCATGAGGCCACAGAAACTTTGAGGATTCTCCGACACTGGACTGTCATGTGGCTTTGGACCAAGCTTTCAGGCTGCTGTCTTTGACTGTGGTGCAGATGCTGGACTTCACTCTTCCTCCAGGACCATCTGATGACATTCAGCTGGGTAGGTAGGTTTTTAAAAAAGGTTTTTCTTCATTCTATATGATAAACAAAAATTCTTCCTTAGTAACTACAATTTAAGTAAAAAAGTTGATGAGGTCCCAAAACACTCTTCCAGAGCAGCTAGTCCTAACGTGGTGAGAGAATGTTTCTGTGCTAGAAGAGTATTTCTATGATTCAAGCAAAGGTCTAGCCTTTTCTTTTTCCTACCTTACTGCCTCAGCAAAGGGCATTTTCATATGAGAAGGTGTGGTGTTGACTTGGAGGAAAGGCTTAGAGATGTGAGGGGAAGCCCACAGACCTCCAGCTGCCTTCCATATCAACTGTTAGAGAGGGACAGGAATCCCAGGTCATTATAATTGTGGTTCCGTTGACTTAGAAGTGACATCTTAAGTGATAGTTCTAAAAAAATGAAATGCCATTTACCAAAACTAAGTATGCTATTAGCTCTCAAAGCGAACATTAATATAGATTTGTTTTAGGCTCTTGAAGTAGCACTAAACTTGAAACCCAAAGTCTTGGGTGCTGTCTTTGTCTTGTGGCTTATTGTGTGTTTATGAATAGATCAAATGACCTTTTTGTGTTCAGTTCCTTTTCAATAGTTGGACTAACAATAGGAAAAATAGTACTGACCTAAAATGCTGATCTGTTTCCTTTGGCCCTGAAGACTCCAAGGAACTCCAGCGAGAATGTCTTCAAATCAGTAAAATTTATGCATTGGGAGAGCCTTATCACCCCTTCCTTCCTTCCTTCCTCATGTCCTGAGTGAGACAGAAACTTAGAACCAAAAGAGCAATATTTCATGCCAAAGCCAAGAGCCAGCTAAGGGTGACTACCAACGAAAGCAAAGCAGTGATGACCGGGTACACCTAGGGAAGGGTGGGGTGGAGCCAGGGCAGTAAGCTAAGTGACTGTCACTGTTCACTTCTGGCATACGGTCTCATCACCTAGAGATTAGTGAAGGAGCAGCACAGGCTTCTATCCAGTAACTGCTCCAGAATAAGCTCACATCGTAGGCACAGAAGTAAACATCCCACCTGCAGTCGCAAGGTGTGCTCCTCCCAGGCAGGGTGCCCAAAGGATAATTGCTAGAAGCCGGAAGGTGTACTTCCTCTGGCCTTGCCTTGGGATGAGTCTCCCAGGCTGAGAAGAACCCCGGCTACATGACAAAAACCAGCATTTTCTTGAAAAATTTTCTTGAAAACTATCCCAACCAGCTTTGGCCCTGTTTTGGTAAGATCCAAGACAGGATGCTCAGAGGTTTGTGGGAGGGCTGATTAAGGCAGAGATTCATCTAACCAATATCGGTGGAATTCCTGTCATGAGCGTGGTGGTAAATAAAACAAAACCTGCCTCCCAGCACAGAGAGCTGATGGGGCAAAAAGGCCTGCCTGGTTAACATGAGGGGATGCTTGGAAGCCCTTGGGAAGGAGGGGTGAGAGCCCTGGGCCAGTCAGGATCGGGTAGGAGAAGGGGACATCTGGGAAGCTGAGTAGCAGTGAGAGGAAGCAAGACCGAGACCATGGGACCAAATAGCAGAGTGGAAAGCACCGAAAGAGAGTGAAAGTTTGGAGCCTCTCAGCGGTTCAGTGTGGTGGAACATAGAGAACAGAGAGCGGCAAGAGTGAGGTTGGATTAATAAACAGGGAATGAATGGGCTGTTTTAAGAGGCATCAATGAGCTCAGATTTATATTTAGGAAGTTGTTATGGCTTGTGTGGCCTTGACCTGAGTAAATTAATTGGGGTATACAAATTCTTCACTTGTATATGTGATATGTCTACATGAAATGATGCAATTCCTTCTGAGTTTTTCTCTTCTCTTTTTCACTTTCTTTTGTTCTTTTGAGACAAGATCTCACTATGTAGCCAAGATTGGCCTCAAACTCATGGCAAGCTTCTTGCCTCAGTCTCCTGAGTACCGGGCAGATGTGTGCCACCATGCCTGGATCTTAGTTTTTATTATCTAACTTGATTTATTTTATTTTTTCAATACTATACGACAGATATAAGCATGCATAGTGAATAGTAGTTTCCAATGATAGCCACATCCATATATCACATCTCATACATTCCTGTTACACTGTGATGTGATCTCTTCCATTGAGATGTTGGTCAATATTCCCTCCCTTTGAACCTGGCAGACCTATGCAACTGTCTTGACAATAGAGTACAGCACAAGTAATGCGACTTCTGAGGCAAGGCCATAACAGCTCTCCATCTGCTTGATCTCCTTCCCTCTCTTTTTCTCTCCCCCCACTCACAAGACTTTAGTCCTAACCTTCAAGCCTGCTCCACTAACACCAAGGAGAATGAAGACAAGTGGTTTCTGCAAAACTATGCACATTCATGAGCAAAGTAAATGTCATAACTTAAACCATTAAATTAGGTTTGATTTGTTACAACAGATAACCAATAACCTTGACCAAGGCTTCAGAATTTAGTTGGGCACGGTGGCACACGACTGAAATCCCAGTTACTTGGGAGGCTGAGGAAGGAAGATGGCAAGCTTGAGCCAATCCTGGGCAACTTGGCAAGACCCTATCTCAAACTATAATATAAAAGGGGCTGAGGATGTAGCTCAGTAGGAGAGTGCTTGCCTAGCATGCATGAGGCCCTTGATTCCATCTCCAACATCATAACAAAATCCAACAACAGATTTTATGTAGCTAATTTCAGGTATTTTATTGTGAAGGCCCCCTTAGTGTCTGATGGTTATAGAATTTTAGTGCTCATGTTAGCTACAGCATAGGGACACAAGGGCCCAATTGTGAGATGGTTACAGTTGTTGGAGAAAGATGACAGTGACTAGTTGAACTTCGGTGACCACTTGGAATATAGAATGCTCAAGAAAAATGTCACTCACACCCTAACAGCGAGAAGCAGCTCTTCTGGAGCCCTTAAAAACCTGAGGTCTCAAGGCAACCAAGTACTGTAAAGCCAGCCCAAGGACAGCCAAACTCCTGCACACACAAAAGACTTTAATTCTGGCAAAAATACAGTGACTGTTACACAAGCAGGCAAGAAGAAACCCACAAAAGTGTTAAAAATCTAAAGACTGCATGTGGCCCATTGCATTCATTTAGAGTAGCTGGGTATCCTTCTAGACATAGGGTTTTTGCCCTCACAAGTACCCCTGCAGCTCACAAGGGAAAGTGGGAGTCAGGTGGGAGCCAGGAGCAAGCTTTCCTCCTCATGGTGTGAGCATGCGGTATTCCCAATATTGTACACTGTAATCCCAATATTATATATTGTATTTCAAATATTATAGTTCATTATTCTATCCTCCTCATCCAGAAAATTTATATTTGTAATCACATTGAAATATTATTGGAATCTTGGCAAATTCCAACCTACCACCTCCAATGCAACCAACCCACAGTGAGCATAAAGACACTAAAACACATTCAAATGTACAGGGAGCCAAGGAGTCCTGAGTCCACTTCAGGTGAGGATACATGGAACAAAGTCCTTGATCCAATGCCTCCCCCAGGATTTATTACCTTGTGCAGAAGGGAGTGACTTGAGAATGAGTGACAGTGAGGATGGCAGGAATTACATGAGCAAGGTGAGCTGAGCTTTGGTCAGATGGAGAGCAAGCACCTCTGCAGTACACGGGGAGAAGGATATGCAAAAGGACCAGTTTGCATAACTCAATTAGGGTAGCATTTGAATGATTTAAGAGGCTGTTGCTTTGGTTTCTGATATGTAAACTTTGCGTCCTGGAAAATCATAGCCTCTTAAGTTGAGGTTCATATTTAGTTGACATTCCTGGAGCTATATGGCTCTGCCATCCTGCTGTGCTCAACCATTTATGGAGAACACAACTTGAGGAAACAGGGAGCCGTCAACTGGCCTCAAGGATTACGTATCAGTACCTCAGTTAGCCTTATTTGATTGCTTAAAGCCAATTGAAGGGAGAAGGAAATAGCATAGCCAGCTCTCTATATATCAGTACATAGAGACAGAGTCCAATTTAATGCAGAGGTAATAGTTCTGCATTCAAGGAAAGCTGTCCACTGGGTCTTCTACAGTGTAGGAGCTGACCAAGGCAGCTGAGGGGTGAAAGCTGCAAAAAGCCTTAACTGTAGGCTGGGGATGTGACTCAGTGGTAGAATTCTTGCCT